AAATTGTATAGAGAATTAAGAATTTTCAATTTTAGCATACTTATATAATTATGACAAGAATTTCTTCAAAATTCACTATTCTTTATATGTATATATATATATATATATATGATATTCAAATATTTGAATACTGTTTTATTGAATTCATTTATGATTAATTCCAATTTAATTAACATTGGACGATTTCACGTGCCTCGAAATTTGCTATATATATATATATATATTCAAATATCCGAATATTGTTCTCATTGAATTCGTTTATGATTAATTCCAATTTAACTAACATTAGACGATTTCATATGACATTTCGAACTGAATTCGTTTAATTTAATTTCAGATCGCAAATGGCTAATGACAATTTTGACAATCATAAGCTACTGGAAAATGCGGAAGGTAAAATAAATCTTGCAGGATAACTGTACTCAATTATATATTTTGTTATAACTGTTAGTTGAAGAATGGAAATTTTGAAATTTTTCTAACTTTTAAAGCTTCATATACACATTTATGTATAATAAAATATATTTGTAAAATAATTTAGGCAGTAATGAAGAGAAAGTGACAGAACTGCTTGAAAGGCTCTATGATCAACCTTTTCATCGTAAAATTCGAGAATCCACCAAATCCAATGAAAATCGTATGAAACGTGTAAGCTTTTTTCTATTTGAATCATAAAATTAAACTTTTGTTTTTAAATTTTAAATAAATAAAATCTAATTTTTCTTTATTACAGAAAAGATGAATGATTTAGCAACATTTTCGAAATTTTTCAATCAACAAGAGAATTTTAGTCATAGACACAAAAAACAGATATGCTATGAAAGAAAAGAATGAAAAAAAAAATCTTAAAAATAAAATATGCAAATGCCCCGATGTTACAGTATCCGATAGGTGTAAGGTTATTGACCTATGTTTGACCTATATTGATGTGTACCCATTTTCCAATAATAGTTCTCTATGCAATATTATGAAAGATTCAAATTATTTCACTTATCCTATCAATGGGCCAAGTTATATATCAGATTAATGGTCCCTAGCTTACTTCATTCTTCTAGCCTAAGCCTTCAGTGTCCTTTGTTATCCCGCAAAAATCGATGTTTACTTGATGACAAAAAGCTATATGTTTCAAAGCATTTTACAGAATTTGTTACATTCACTGAAAGCCTTAAATTATGCAATTGATGAAGCGGTAGATATGGGACAAATGGTAGATTTGGGTCTCGAAGTATTAGCACAAACATGGCGACGAAGAGATGCTGAATCTGAAATTGCTTTTCAGGTACTGAATTTCTAGATGATCGAATTTGCAGTTATTGAATTTTAATTTAAAACTTTTAGTTTTGATTTCAAATGTTTCTTTTTCTTTTTCCAGAATCTTCTTTCCAGGGTCTATTAACTGTACTTGAATATTGCCTGAATCGTTCAGCAGCAGGTTACGCATCCTTTGAGCAATTCATCAATGCACTTGGTTATAATACAGTACAATTTTGGCGATATGCAGTACCATATATTTATGATTCTGACCTTACTTATGGTACCAAATTCCGTGACTTGTTACTATTCAGTTTAACGTTGTACGATATTAACAATGCAAAAAATAAACTCAGGTTTGCTAAATTTAAATTTCTACTAATTACTAATAAGAGAGGACCTATATAAACCAGTTTCAATAGTATTTAGCTTAATTAGATCAATTCGATAACTTTCAAATATTAATGATTATAACGCTCAGGTTAGTTGTACCATGTACTACAGTAGCAAGATATCATTCATCTACAGTTACAGTTATCGCATTGTATAAATCTTAGTGATTTATGAATATGAAATATAAACCTGCAAAAATCGAATAAAATAATATAAACCCACTATTAATACTATTATTATTACTATTGTTATTATTGTTGTTATTATTATTATTATTATTATTATTATTATTATTATTATTATTATTATTATTATTATTATTATTATTATTATTATTATTATTATTATTATTATTATTATTATTATTATTATTATTATTATTATTATTATTATTATTATTATTATTATTATTATTATTATTATTAT